CGGGGTCAGCACTTGCCTAGCACATTCGAGGCACTGGGTTTGATCCTAAGCACTGCATAAAAATAAATAAAACAAAATAATGGTATTGTATCCATCTACAATTTTTAAAAAATTTAAAAATGACAAAAAAACCTACCACAATTTAATATGTATACTTCTTTCCTCTGCTTACAAAAATATAATAAATATTCCCTTTTCACTTAAATGAAACATTTTGTAGCTCCTCTTTGGTACAACCAAAGTGTCAGTATTGCTACTCTTGCACTTTGGGACTGTTATTTAGTAAAATAAGGGTTACTTGAATATAAGCACTGCAATACTTTGAGTGTACCTAATAACTGAGACAGCAACAAAGTGACTACTGGGGGAATAGCATATACTGTATGGATACACTGAATAAAGGAATGATTTATGTCCCATCCAGGATGGAGTAGGATGGCTTGAGATTTTATCACACTACTCAGAATGACTATTTGAAACATAAATTTTTTTCTTGGAATCTACTATTTAAAAATTTCAGACCACTGTTGACTGTGGAGAATGAAACCTTGGATAACTGGGGACTAGTATAATGTACTTACTGTGTCCAGGACAATTTTAAAATGTGACGTTGAGCCAGGAGTGGTGATGCACACCTGTAGTTCCAGCAGTTCAGAGGCTAAGTCAGGAGGCTCACTTGAACCCAGCAGTTCAAGACCACCCTGGACAACAGAGTTGAGAGCTTGTCTTTACACACACACACACACACACACACACACCACAAAACCTAATGTTTATACTTCTTTGCTTACAAAAATATGACATGCCTCACACATACACACAGAGCAGCTGCTAATATAGGAGGAAAGGCTGGCAGTCCCACCCAGCAGAGTCCTGTCTGGGACAGTTTAGGATGGGAGACAAAGTTCAGCCTCAGCCTGGAGCCGTGAAGCATGAACAGCTCTGATCCGGTCCTGTCAGAGGTGGGGACTGGGCTAGTACAACCAGCCCTCCATATCCGTGGTTCCAAGCTCATGGATTCAACCAAACTCATATTGAAAATATTTGGGGCTGAGGCTGTAGCTCAGTGGAAAAGCGCTTGCCCCGCATGCATGAGGCACTGAGTTCGATCCTCAGCACCACGTAAAAATACATAAAGATGCTGTGTGTTCATCTACAACTAAAAATATATTTAAAAAAAATATTTATTTTTTAGTTGTAGTTGGACACCATACCCCTATTTCACTTATTTATTTTTATGTGGTGCTGAGGATCGAACCCAGTGTCTTGCACGTGGGAGGCAAGCGCTCTACCGCTGAGCCACAAACCCAGCCCCACTAAAAATATTTTTAAAAAACATTTGGAGGGGCTGGGGATGTGGCTCAAACTGTAGCGCGCTCGCCTGGCATGTGCTGGGTTCGATCCTCAACACCACATAAAAATAAAAATAAAGATATTGTGTCCACCTAAAACTAAAAAATAAAAAAATTTGTAAAAAATTGTGTTTGTACAGAACACATAGCCATTTTTCTTTTCCGTATTCCCTAATCTATATACCAACTGTTTTACATAGCATTAAGTCATTTAGAGATGATCCAAAGTCTATGAGAAAATGAGTTGTTATAAGAACAAACTCAACCCCTGAATGACTCTCTAGCGTTCTTGTTTGGTGATGTGATTTCTCTCTTTCTTTCTCCCTCCCTCTTGTACACTTCCACCATCTGCTGAGGTCCTCACTGGAGTTAAGCTGATGCCAGAACCATGCCGTTGCATCTCTAGAGCTGGAAGCCAAACAAATTTCTTTTCTTTATAATGTTAGACCAATTCAGGTTTTTCATTATAGTAATGAAAAATGGACTAATGAAAATCACAACAATAGAAGCTGTTTTCCAGGCATTGGGCAGGTTTTCTGGGACCGAATCCCACAAAGCTTTGAGAATTAAGGCTCAGAGTAAGAGCAGACTTTCTCCCCAGGATTGGATTTCTGTATATGGTGTGAGGTAAGGATCAAGTTGGTTTTATCCCATGTGGATATCCAGTTGTTCCAGAACTGAAAAAGCCTATCTTTGCTGGGCCTCACCCAGGTAACCAGAGACAGATCAGGGATTCCAACTCGTGTCCATCTGACCCAATCAGGAACAGTCTCCAGGTCTCCTGTGAGCTGTCCTTAGGGTCAGCTAAACAAGCTTTGCTCCATCAGCAAACTGGAGTACTTTTTAAGGTCACAAGCATTTACCAAAGGAAGCAGGGTGGAGAGATTCGGGCCAGCTCCCCTGTGCTTCCTTCCTACAGGGACAGTGAAGTGTCCCCTCCTGCCTTCTGCCCCCCTGACCTCACCTTGTTGTATGTTTTCCTCTTCCTGCCCTCTTCCCAGAAGCCATGGGTACACTGCCCATGCAGAACACCTCCACTAAGGGGAAGTTCAGGATCGTGCTCAAGGCCAGCACCTTGACAACCGCCAGTCATTCCAAGCAGAACTGCCCCAACATGAGGTCCATGCTTCAATCCCTGCCTGCCACCAAGGGTCAGGATCGCAGGGTGTGGCCAGGCCCCCAGCCACCCTCAAACTCGCCCAGTTAACTCAAATCTCTGAAATGAGGGAGAGGCTCTGTGAAGCAGGAAATTCAGGAATCTCACTAGATTCCTCCCTAAACCTCCAGAACATTTTCTCACTTGACCAACTTCTCGTGCCCCAACCACCACGCAGACAGGCCATCTTTCCAGGAGGCTGTCCCAGGTCGTTCTTGGCCTCCCCGATACCACTCTCCCATAGTGCTTTCTCCCTATGGCAACCCCAGGGAGCATTCCAGAATTTAAAATTCCAGCTAAATTCAAAATGGGCCTGTGGCTCCCATCATCCTCTAAGATATTCTGACCCTATCTTCTTGCAGCCCTGAGGCCCCCTCATTCCCCTGTTGCATACCTACCACCTCTCCATTTTTTTCAAATACACACAGTTCCTTCCCACCTCAGGGCCTTGGTACATGCTGTTCCCTCTTCCTAGGATGTGCTTCCGCCAGATCTGTGTGTGCCTGCTCTTTTGGATCTCAGCTCAAGTATCCCCTCCCAGTGTCTCCACCCATCCCAGAGACAGTAGCCTCCCAGCCATGTCACTCAGGCCAACCCAGTTTCCTGTTTGATTTCCTTCTGCGTTCAAATTGCCCTTCACCTTCTGCTTGTTTATATGTACAGCTGGTCCTCTGGATTGTGGGCTCCATATCTGTGGATTCAGTCAACCGCGGTTCAAAAACCTGGGGGAAAAATTGTGTCTATACTGAAGGTGTACTAACTTTTTTTTCTTTTCATTATTTCATAAACAATTGAAGAGAAGAAGGCAGTTTGGGCCTCAGGACCCTCTTTATTCCCATTAAAGGAGCACCCACCAGACCCTGAGCCTCACAGTGGCCTTAGATGGGGAAATTGAGGCAGAGAGAAGGGAGCTGAGGCTGGGGTCTCCAGAGCCATGCCCTGGTCTCAGGTGGACCTCCCTGGAATGGACAGAGGAGGTGCTGAGGAGGTGAGGCTCCAGGAGGTGGTTTTGCCACCGAGCGAGGAGGGGTCCCTCTGAGGCCAGGCAGGCCAGGCTGGCTCTGCACCCTACAGGACAACAGCAAGGGGCCACTCGCTCCTCTTCTGAAAGCTTCCAAGCGCCAGGCACAGCTGGCCCGTTTTCTCATGCTTTCCTCCCTTCAAGCATCAACACACAGAACCAATCAATGTGCTTTCAGGGTCATGCCTTCTCCCTCCCTTGTTCACGGCCCCATCTTTGGTCAGAGGGCCTCTTAGGATCTGCTCTGGAGACCTTCACCATGACCTTATTTTCTGGTCCCACCAGATGCCTGCGGCTTGTCTGGCCTGTGTCCCGCTCGGTCTTGGGATTGGCTGTTTCTCCAGAATCCCTCGACCCTTTTGTGGGACACGGCACCTAGAGACCTTAGCTGGAGTTAGGGGTGCTCTCCAGGTCCTTTGTAGTTCTGGAGATGGAGCCTGGAACCCAGGGCCTCATGCACAGTAGGCAAGTCTCCACCCAGAGCCTCCCTCCAGCCCCAGGCCTCCTCCCTGGACAGAGAGAGGATGTGCCTTTCCTTTCTGAGAGATGATACATTATATGTTAGACCAATATTGCCAATTTCCTTATTTAGGATCACAGGATTTTATTTAACTGCATTGCCTTTATGCTTGGACTTCTTTCCTCTAACACTAAAATCTGGGTTCCTAACAACATTAACATTATTTTATTTTCTTTATGCAAAAATACATAGAATAATTTCAGACTGGTAATGCCAGCAATTATAGCTAACACTATGATTGTCAAAAACAGCTTAAGATTTGCAATTCTTATGCACAACCAGACGAATGAGAAGTTATACTCCATCTATGTATGATGTGTCAAAATGCATTCTATTGTCGTTTAAAACTAGAACAAATTTTTTAAAAATTAAAAAAAAAAGATCTGCAATTCTTTTTTTGCCTTGGGGTATATCCTACCAGGGAATATGTGGATAGTGTGCTCAATATACTGTGCTTCAGCCAGGAGCAGTGGCACACACCTGTTATTCCAGCAACTGGGGAGGCTGAGGCAGGAGGATCACAAGTTCAAGGTCAGTCTGGGTACTTAGTGAGACCCTGTCTCAAAACATAAAAAGGGCTGGGGATGTAGCCCAGTGGGAGAGCACCCTTGGGTTCAGTCTCAGCACTGAAAAAAACCTACTGTTTTAAAGTCATTCAAAATAATTCCTATTTGTGTGGTTGAGCTGTCAACTCCAAATCACAACCGCCGGCTCATTTTCATTTCAAGTTTCTCTGGTTCTCTCTTTCTTTCCTTCTCCTCCTTTAATTTGGTTTTGGTTTCAGAGTCATGTTGACAAAAATAAGATAAACTCAAAGACATCCAGCCTCCATAAGCCTGTTCCTTTTATCCTGTTTCTTTTTTTTTTTCCCTCTTAAATTTTGAAGTTCATTCTTCCATTTTAAATATAAGCAAGGAGGGACTGGGTGCAGCTCGGTGGTAGAGCACTTGCCAAGCATGCATAGAGCCCTGGGTTCCCATCGCTGCCCTGCTGGAAAAAAAATAAAGTGAGAAAGACACAAGCAGATAAAAATACATTCATATTCTCCCTTAGATGAGGGACAGCCTATACCATGAGCTTTTCTCTAACCTGAAGTTCACTCTGATGCTAACGCGCTTATTGGTTTTGGTTCTGGGGATTGCACCCAGGTGCGTTCTACCACTGAGCTCCATCCTCATCCCTTTTTATTGTTTAAAGTTTCCCAGGCTGGCCTCAAACGTGTGATCCTCCTGCCTCAGCCTCCTGAGTAGCAGAGATTACCCATGTGTGCCACCACACCCAGCGTGATGCTGAGGACTCTAAACATAGACTGGAATTTATCAACATGGTATTATTCTGTTTGGGCTAAGCAAGGAAAAAAAGAAAGAAAGAAACCCAGAAGGTAGTAGACCATTTTGCTAGTACCAGTTATTTCAGGGCATTGGTTTTATTTTTTAAATTTCATCCACTTGATAGATATTTATGGAGATATTTATGGTACACTCAGGGTGTACTCACTGTCACCCGGGGCAAGAACAGTATCTGAATTTAGTTTTCTGTGCCAATGTTTTTAAATTTACCAGTGAATACCAGGAGCAAATAAATAAGTAATAAAAATTCATTGAGGGAATGAAATGCTTCTGCCCGGGATCTGTTTAGATCATTTACATTATGCACGCCTGTGTTTCCTGAAACTGTTTTCATAGTGAACACTCATTACTCTGGCAACCAGGAATGGCGATAGCTGGGGCAGGGGCTCAGGGGTAGAGATCTTGCCTGGAACATGCGAGGCTCCAGGGCTGGGTTCCATCCTTGGCACCATGACGTCAGAGTAGAAAACTTGTAAAGCTGCGTCCATTAGAGAATGCATGCCCTGCACGTATGTCCATGCCCCTCCCCATGCCCCGTCAGCGCCATCTGCCTTCACACCTCCATTCTGGTTCCTCCAGCCCCAGCTCCCCTCAGCCTCTCCCCAGGCCTGGGACCCACAGAGCCCAGCTCAGGGGGCCTAGTGCAGGGCTGGGCTCCTGGTCAATGTGTATTAAGATGGGACGTATTGATTTCCAGGAGGGGAAACAGTCTCAGAGAGGTCAAGTGACCTGTCCAGTGTCACATAGCGACACACAGCTCTCTGCCCTTGCTGCCCCCTGGAGTGGACTCAGGCTAAGTCCAGATTCCTTTCCTGGGACCTTTTTGCTGGGCTTACAAGACACTGCATCCCCACAACCCCGGAGACATATTCAATTCCTCAATGGGCCACACCAGAAATTACTCCACTTCCTGGCACCCAGCTCACACTGGTTCTGTTGGGCCTCCAAGCAGCCTAGACCTCAGGCCTGGTCCTCAAGGAGTCCCTAGTCTGGAGGCAGAGCCAGACTCCGTGTTTACTCTTACCACCATGGGTTCAGGCCTGGGCTGCACAGGAACTGCAAGAGCCTAGAGGGCTTCCTGGAGGAGGGGCCATGAGCTGGGCTTGAAGAATGAGTGGGAGGAGGCTGGACAGAGTGGAAAGGCAGCTGGGTGGACACGCAGATGTGGATGATGTGGGCTTGTGTGGGTGGATGGAGAGGAAGGAGAATGGTGGAGCAGCATGGAGGAATGGGGGCTGGGGGAGGGGAGGGGAGGAGATGGGTAGATGGTGGACAGAAGACACAGTGATGGTTGGGAGTGAGGGAAGGGCGGGTGGGGAGATGGCTGACTGGGTGGATAGATGGATGGGATGGATATATGGATGGATGGATAGGATGGATGGGTGGATAGGATGGATGGATGGGATGGATTAATGGATGGAGGATGGATAAATGGATAGGATGGATGGATGGATGGATGGGACGGATGGATGGATGGATGGCTAGGATGGATGGATGGATAGGATGGATGGATGAATGGGATGGATGAATGGATGGATAGATAGGATGGATGGATGGGATGAATTAATGGATGGA